ATATATCGATTTTACATTTTTGGAAACAGTGATCAGCTTTTTTGTTGTTATCTAAAATGGGTTATATTCAACACGACTTGTACGTCGATAAAATTTTTCACCGCGGTGCTAATATATCCGATTTCATCTCACTTCACCAGAAGCTCGATTGGGCGAATGGTCACGGCACAACCTGCCCAAATGAATTAAAATCGATAGCATTGGCAGCTAATGAACCCGGCATGCAGAGTAGTAATGATACAACTCCCGTATTGATCAATGGTGTATACGCTGATGACAATGACTGGCATGCAGATGATTCCAAAGACCCTACACTAGCAACTGATAATCCAGATGATAGGGCCGAAATTACAATGCCTCCTTCCGATGTTCTGGCGCCTGCAACCGACCAGACCGGAGATCTGGGCGACCATGGGCTTGATAGTGACATAGCACCACAGTACGAGATAGATCAGATACTCACCTCTACAGCGCTACACACAGATAGTTCACAGCAGCAAATACATCAGTCCCATACCCACACAGAATCTCACGAATCATCTGGAGGGATCCTTCATGGGTCTCCTCATATAAGCACTACAGCTGGTACTGATACTGATACCCGTCACAACTCGTTAAATGCCTCAGACGATGGGACCGCGAATGCGTTTAATACTGTGCATGGCTCATTGCTATCATTTGACACCTCAACAGACAGCCAAATCATTCGGAACTCCTTCACCGCAACCCAATCGGTATTTCACGCTCAGGTGCATGCACAGGCCAACGCCCTCGCACAAGTAGTGTTACTGAAGCAAGTAAATTCTCACGTACCACAGGCTGCTCACACACCTGCCGCCTTGGGCAGCCCATCACAGACAGCTTTGTCTGTGGATAGCTCGTTAACGAGTGAGGGTTGGGGATTAGCTACTCACGACACTAGCGATTGTGACACAAATATGAACAAAAAGGCTGCAGCGGCCTCCTCCTTGCGCAATTCCGTAGCACTTTCGGAAACTCAGGATGCAAAGACAAAGGATAGAAAATTCAGGGCGAGGAAGAGGAAGCGTATAGTCCATCGGCAATACGCGAGGGATGGTCGAGATGAGGGGCGTGAGAATACTTTTTTCGGGTTAGCAACCGCGAGTGCTGTGAGAGTCTCCTGTAGTTGGGGCGGGTGCGACCAACAGCATGTGTACGATTGGAACAGGAATGGGTGTGACTCTCTCTTCCGGGAGCAAGGGAGCTGAACGGATTAGTGTTACGTGAACCATCATTTTAGTCCGTGTGGCTGCAGTTGGGGGTGTGGTTGGGCTAATGTAATCCACGCACGACGTCATCCAGTGTATGGCAAGATCGTTGGTGAGGACAGTTCTGAATCTATCTTGTCTGATGCCAGACTATGTTGTAGTCAATGGTGGCAGACGTTCCATAAACACGTGCGCAGGATACACAAATTGTGCGAAAGATATACATGCACTAAGACAGCAACCACTGAGTTCTACTTGTTACTCAATGCAGTTGTGCAATTCATCGAGATGGGTACACTACCGACCAGTGCTATTCGAGGAAAAAAATATTGGTTGCCCATTGACTACTCTCTCAACATCCATTACACTCATCAGCAGTCGCACAAGTATACTCCGAACAACATTGATTTTTACGCGATGATCTGCAATGCGTGGAGCGGTGAGAGTGATACTCATATCGTAGCGAAGTGTGCCTGTGAAGGCATATACATATTTGCAGATGAGCGTCGCCAGAGCTAAGGAGAAGAAAATATTGTACATACAGGTCTTTCGGCGAAAGGTAGTCTCTACCCAAGCTTCCTTGCTGTATTGTTTTGCACCAATATCGGGACCCGTTTTTAAGTGGTGACTCTCTTTTCTAGCTTGCATTTTACGACATGTTTGTCGAACATGACATTCAATGGCAGCGGTCACGCTGTGTACCCCTCTGAGCCGCACATACACTCTCCCGCACCAGAGCGTTCTATTGGATCGAAAATGGTGCAAGGAGTCGGCGACACATCATGGGCGGCGGTGCAATTGAATTGTATCATATCCGTTGTTCTCGTTCGATAGCTTGAGTATCTTCTCCAGTAGGGTTTCTTCGTCCAGATATCATGTTGGGTAGGCCGGCTCGCCGCCTTGAGCCCCTTCTCGTTAACCAACGGATAGAGCATTCTGGTCATGCCGAATAGACAGTGATGCTGGCTCTGCCTGATGAGTAGACGTTGCTGGCAATATTCGTCGAACATGATTTGATACACAGTTGTCCCCTACAATCAAATGGTATGCGCGCCGCCAAATACTTCTCGCGTTCACCACTTAGGGAGAAATTATAACGTTTTGAGGCGAGCTGCCCCATGGCTTGTAGATAGCGGGCGGGACCCAGACTGGTTGAATACCTTGAGCGATTCATGTGCGGTATGATCAAATTGCACAAAACTTTGACACCACAAATAAATTATTACAACACTGAAAGCCACGAGATGATAAACACTTTACGGGTGGCATTGAAGTGAGAGCGAGACAACGTTTCTGTATCCTCATTGATATGCAATCTCAGCTTGACAGTCTGTATGGCATCAGATACGAAGCATACTTATACACAGCGACGAACCTCTAGTATTTTGCTGTGTGCTTATTCAGACCGCCATTAGTGTAGAGGAAACTCCAGCCCCTTTCACTGATAAATCCTTCGCATTTTGTTTGGCCTCCTCCGATTACCACAGCTAGTTGCCAAGCACACTCTACGCATTCAACAATCAGACAACGCGAAACTTGTAATATTCACGGAAGCTAAACCAGAATAGATAGATGCAGATTTTGCGAGGCTCCTAAGGGGTCAGCGTACGATACAATCGTTTTATTTGCCGACAATAATAGATCTTAGGGCAAACGTTTTAGAGTACGTGTTATTCCTGCCTGAGCCTGAGGTAGCCACACTCCATTGGTCACTGGGGATAAGGTCCCTCGCAAAGTCGTATATATCAGTCATCCTCAGAGCTTCCGGGTGATAGTCACTAATACTGTTCTTCCTTGAGTGATTGTTGGCAAACTGTGGATGTGTGCAATGAGGTACCCACAGAAGTAGCTTTCAAATTTGAGAGTATCAAGTCCTCGATAGCACCGGACGTTCTTATCCTTGCCATCACCAAGAGACAGCTGTTCGTCTCGTGCCTTGTAGGTAATCATCCTGTATCACATAAGCGTTTCTCTGAAGTACATTCCTCGCCGCTTCTCATTAATAGCACGGTATTCCAGGCCCCGCAAATAGCTTTCTGCACCTTTTTAAAAACACCAGCGAATTCAAAAACTCTAGGAGTATCGGTTGTATCCGTGTTGTCTGCTGTGCTGCTGACTTTGAGCTGGGCATCGACCCGGATTTCGGGTTGGGTTAGATCCAAGTTTCGATCTGATTGTGCTTGCATATGCGGGTGTATGGTTTTCTGTGCAATTTGACCCAATTGCCCGTACTTGCTGCTGCCAAAGCCCCTGGAGTATCCGAATGGATCAACGGAAAGTGATAAACAACAGTTAACTCGAGACAAAAACCATGCGAAACACTCATTTTTTTTTTTGAATCGGGCAATGCTGGCCAAACTCTATAGGGTCACCAACGCGATTGAAGGATATCCAAACGAATGAACGATATCAACACGAAAAAGCTATACTCGCGAAAAAACTATACTCACGAAAAAAACCATACTCACGAAAAAACTAAACTATAGTACGACTAGTCCGCTACTCCCGGCACCCTGCGCTCTCTCCCATGTCACTGTCGATGACGGAAGTAAGGAGATATATGGAGACACAAGGCTCAAATCATACACGCTATGTACAGTGGCTGAGTAAGCGTTTCTGCCTGTGTATGTCTAAACGCAGACAAGACCATGCTAAGGTAGCTTATTTGGGCCTATTTCAGGAATATTGCTACGTACTGTACCATTTGTCAAGCATCATTTGAAATGGCACCTAGATCGAACATGGAATTCACATTCGTATCGACTGGCATTGCAGATGAAACTTGCGTGACCACAGAGGGTGCACATAGAGTTACGTTTTTTAGCACCTGATAAAATAAGTTACCTTTAACAGCACAGAGTTAGGGTTTCTAGCACATAATAAAATTAGTTACGTTTATTATGTATTGCACTGTGTCATTTCTATCAAATGCTGCGCAATTGTCATTATAAGTAACTCATTCTTCTAATGGTGCTTACCACCTACATAAGAGGGAACCTTCCAGATATAGTCTATCTATGAAGTTCAAATACACAGGAAGATCATGTATGTCACCTCGAATACTCGCAAGCCTATACAAACTACAAATCATTACGGGCCACATGCATAGACTGACGCAAAGAGAGTGCAAACACGACAGAAGCACCTTGCCATATTTTTAGGTGGATTGACTACCGTCATCACTACCTACATACTTATATATACACATACACATACATACACATCACTGTACGGAACAAAAGGATTTCGCGACCAATATGTCTCACATACCAAGCTCTGCCCATAGAATCGACCGCAACAGAATGGGTCCGCCCCGCACTGATATCGACTATCATCACATCGTCCGGCTGAAGGGTAGCTGGTTCATACGATCGTGCTGCGTTGTGCTGAGACTTGAACTTCTTGGCCGTCGGCGGCTCAAACTCATCGGCTACATCAAGATGGATCCAGATGATGTGATGAGGTGTTCTTAATTGAGCGCAGGAGGGGGATTGTAACAAACAAGTGCACGTATTTGGGGTATCGAATTGTGATTGACATGAATTCACGCATACTACTGCTGTCACCGCTACAGGTCTGATTGCCGACGCCTCCACAGAAACAAAACAGTAAAGCCGTACTCAGCCCCTGTTCCCATGTCTCTACTCATATTCTGATAACTACGCTGGAAACAAAACACTACTAACACCGTCACCACGAACCTTTATCTTTGGTAGACGCCACACAAGTAAGATACCCCTGACCCAGATATACTACGAGTTGGTCGGTTGCATAAAATGTGGCCGTTTGAGTGTATGCTGATACCTACACTGCGGCTACTCCCGAGGAAAATGGATAGACGCCAAATATAGTCATACGCTAGTTGCCATTGAGGATATGCGGAAGGTCCATACTACAGTTTATAGGCGCAATGCATGTAGTGAAGCCCAGCCAAGAGACGAGCAGATAATGTCAGCGAACAGGTATGCACACACTTGGGCATCTGACTGTAGTAACTCTACGCACAGTTGACATTCGAAGCACATAGTGAATGTCTATTTCAACGTTAAACTGCGAAAAGATCCAATGTTTTTTGGCGAGCAACAGGTGTCACACATAAACACACACACACACACACACACACACACACACATATATATATAC